TAAAATGACAACCAATAACAAGACATATTGCCATCATGTTTCTCTTAATCAGACACTCTGAAAAAGATCCATTGTCTCCTAGGTATTATTTCCTAAAAATCCAATCTAATCGTGTAAAAACATCAGGAAAACCCAAATTGAAGGATGGTCTACAAAGTACCTAATCACTTCACTTCAAATGCATCAGCATCATGTAATATAAGGAAAGACCTCCACACTTTCATCTATTATACCACCAGGAAACCCAGCAGGTTCTTTAAGAGCCAAGAAAAATCCTCTCCTGTTTCTCATAGGGAGAAGGAAAATTGAACAATTTTAAATATATGCAGAGTATTTTCTCTTTTTAAAAATATTTTATTGTACTTTAGGGGTACTTTCTGGGGTACATGTGTAGATCATGCAGGATTGTTACATAGGTACACACATGGCAATGTAGTTTTCTGCCTCCATCCCCACGTCACCTACATCTGGCATTTCCCCCCATGTTTTTCAATAACAAAGGCCAACAGTTCAGGAAAAAGGACTTTACCAAAATTTTATTAAACCTGAGGGAAGGTTATGTACTCATCTCTAGCCTCCTCTAATCTTCTCGTCTCATTTATGAGTGGGACAAAAAGCTAAGAAATACTTGTGAAGTGACAGAGGTACACGAAGAGAATAAGAAGTAACAATTTGATTATAGAACTTCCCCTGCTCCATAAACAACTACAACATCAACAAGACTCCTGTAAAATAATAGTGGATTACAAATAAAAGAAGTACAAGATGCTGACTTTATTTAAGAAAGAATTTTAAGAAAACTCAAAGACAATAAGGGAGAACAAAATAGTGGCACTAGAAAAAATTAAAACCTCTGGTGCCTACAGCTACAGCAAACATTAAACACAGCCAATTCCTTGCCATATTAACATTGAATCTCACACTGTTTCTATTTACCTCAGTTTCTATTACCTAATGAGAACTTGGGTTACCACGTTATTACATCTGAGTTTCAACTTAAAAAGTTAGAATATATGCTAAAAAGTAAGAAAAACACAGTGAAAATATAAAGCAACATGTGAATCAGACTCAGATATGATGGATTTTGAAAAGTCTAGAAAGGAAATTAAAAATAACTATGATTGCTATGTTAGGGATGCTAATGAAAACATAGTTAGCATTCAGTTACAGATGGATAATATAATAAGCACAGATATGGAAACTCCAAGATAAAAAAAAGAAATACTAGAAATAAAAGAATCTGCAATGGAAGTGAAGAAAGTCTAATGGGATCACCGATAGACTGATCACAGCTTAGGAAAGAGAATCAAATGGCTTAAAGATATTGTCAATAGAAACCTGCCAAACTGAAATGAAAAGAGAAAAAAAATAATTTTAAAAACTGAACAAAATATCCAAGAATTGTTGAACAATCTAAAAATGTTCAACATGTATGAAATTGGAGTACCAGAAATAGAAGAAAGAATAAAGCAGATAATATATTTGAAGTAGTAATAGTAGAGAGTTTCTGAAAATTAGTGACTGACACCAAACCACAGTTTCAGGGAACGTGATGAATGCCAAGCAAGATACATACCAAAAAAAAAAAAAAAATCTATCCAGGAATATCACATTCAAATTCTAGGAAACAGAAAGAAAAAAGAAAAACTTGAAAGAAGCAGTAGGGGAAAGGGAGGAGAAAAACTTATCTATGGAAAACAAGAATAAGAACTACACTTGACTTCTTCTCAAAATCATATAAGCATTTAGAAGTCCATTGGGTAAAATGTTTAAAGTCATGACAGCAAACCAAAACACTAATCAGGAATTCCATATCATGCAAAGTTGTTCTTCAAAAGTGAAAGAGAAATAAAGACATACTCTGACAAACAAAAACTATCACTACCATCTCTGTCCTTAAAGGAAAAGTAAGAGGCTCCTTGGGACACCCTCTCCAATAAATAGTGTTGGATAAAATAGATAACCATGGGCAGAAAAATTAAACTAGCCCTATACCTCTCACTATATGCAAAAATCAACCAAGAATCGGTTAAAGACTCAAATATAAAACCCAAAACTATGGCATTACTAGAATAAAACATAGAGAAAATACTCCAGGACAATTGTTTAGGCATATGTTTTATGGCTAAGATCTCGAAAGTACAGGCAACGGAAACAAAAATAAACAAATGGGACTATAGTATATTAGAAAGCTTTGGCACAGCAAAGAAAACAATCAACAAAGTGAAGAAGCAACTTGTTCAACAGGAGAAGATATTTGAAAACTATTCATCTGACAAAAGAATAATGTCCAGAATATGCAAGAAACTCAAGCAACTCAACAGAAAAAAAAATCTAATATTTTTATTTAAAAATGGGAGAATGGCCAGGCGCAGTGGCTCACGCCTGTAATCCTAGCACTTTGGGAGGCCAAGGTGGGCAGATCACCTGGGGTCAGGAGTTCAAGGCCAGCGACCAACATGGTGAAAGCCCATCTTTAAAATAAATAAATAAATAAATAAATGGGAGAATGACCTGAATTGAAACTTTTCAAAGCATACATACAAATGGCCAACATGAACTGCCACGTGTGTACCTATGCAACAATCTTGCATGTTCTTCACATGTACCCAAAACCTAAAATGCAATAAAAATATATCACATGTACCCCATAAATATGTACAACTATTATTTACCCATAATTTAAAATTTAAAATTAAAAAAAAAAACCAAAAGATAAAAAAAATGCTCAACATCACTAACAATAAGGGTCATGCAAAACAAAACTACAGTGAGAAATTATTTTACCCCAGTAAGAACGGCTATTATCAAAAAGGTTTTTTTTAAAAAACAGATTCTGAATAGGAATGGTGAAAGAGGGCATCCTTGTCTAGTGCCAGTTTTCAAAGGGAATGCTTCCAGTTTTTGCTCATTCAGTATGATATTGGCTGTAGGTTTGTCATAAATAGCTTTTATTATTTTGAGATACGTTCCATAGATACCTAGTTTATTGAGCATTTTTAGCATAAAAGGCTGTTGAATTTTTTCGAAGGCTTTCTCTGCATCTACTGAGCTAATCATGTGTTTTCTGTCTTTCATCCTGTTTATGTGATAGATTATGTTTATAGATTTGTGTATGTTGAACCAGCCTTGCATCCCCAGGACGAAGTCTACTTGATCGTGATGCATAAGCTTTATAATGTGCTGCTGCATTTGGTTTGCCAGTATTTTACTGAAGATTTTTGTATCAATGTTCATCATGGATATTGGCCTGAAGTTTTCTATTTCAGTTGTGTCTCTGCTGGGTTTTGGTATCAGGATGATATTGGTCTCATAAAATGAGTTAGGGAGGATTCTGGTTTTTTGTATTGTTTGGAATAGTTTCAGATGGAATGGTACCAGCTCCTTTGTACGTCTGTAGAATTTGGCTGTGAACCCATCTGGGCCTGTACTTTTTTTGGTTGGTAGGCTATTAATTGCTGTTTCAACTTCAAACCTTGTTATTGGTCTATTCAGGGATTCAACTTCTTCCTGGTTTAGTTTTGAGAGAGTGTTAAGTGTCCAGAAGTTTATCTATTTCTTCAAGATTTGCTGGTTTATGTGCATAGAGTTGTTTGAAGTAATTTCTGATGGTAGTTTGTATTTCTGTGGCATTGGTGATGATATCCCCTTTATCATTTTTTATTGCATTTATTCGATTCTTCTCTCTTTTCTTTTTTATTAGTCTGGCTAGCAGTCTGTGACCTTCATGACTAAAACACCAAAAGCAATGGCAACAGAAGCCAAAATAGACAAATGGGACCTAACTAAACTTAAGAGTTTCTGCACAGCAAAAGAAACAATCATTAGAGTGAACCAGAAACCAACAAAATGGGAAAACATTTTTGCAAACTACCCATCTGACAAAGGGCTAATATCCAGAATCTACAAAGAACGAAAACAAATTTAAAAAAAAAAGTCCATTCAAAAGTGGGCAAAGGAAACTAACAGACACTTTTCAAAAGAAGACATTTATGAGGCCAAGAAACATATGAAAGAATGCCCAACATCACCGGTCATTAGAGAAATGCAAATCAAAGCCACATTGAGATACCACCTCATGTCAGTTAGAATGGTGATCAGTAAAAATTCTGGAGACAACAGATACTGGAGAGGGTGTGGAGAAATAGGAACAATTTTACACTGTTGGTGGGAATGTAAATCAGTTCAACCATTGTGGAAGACAGTGTGCTGATTCCTCAAGGGTATAGAAATAGAAATTCCATTTGACCTAGCAATCCCATTACTGAGTATATACCCAAAGGATTATAAATCGTTCTATTATAAAGACACAAGCACACATATGCTCAGTGCGGCACTGTTCACAATAGCAAAGACCTGGAGCCAACTTTAACATCCATCAGTAACAAACTGGGTAAAGAAAATGTGGCACACATACACCATGGAATACTATACAGCCATAAAAAAGGATGAGTTCATGACCTTTGCAGGGATATAGATGAATCTGGAAACCATCATTCTCAGCAAACTGACACAAGAACAGAAAACCAAACAGCTCATTTTCTCACTCATAGGTGGGTGTTGAACAATGAGAAAACATGGGCACAGGGTGGGAACATCACACACTGGGGTCTGTTGGTGGGTGGGGGACTAAGGGAGGGACAGCAGGGGGTGGGGAGAAAACAGGAAACAAATCTTTACCTACAATAATGGAAAGTCAATAAAAGATATATGAAAAAAACAGATTCTGGTAGAGATGTGGAGAAAAGAGAATTCTTACACATTGTTGGTAAAAATGTAAATTAGTACAGTCATTACAGAAAACAACATGAAAGTTTCTCAAAAATCAGAAGTGAAACTACCATACAATCGAACAATCCTGTTACTGTTTATCCAAAGCAGAGGAAATCAGTATATTAAAGTGATACCTGCACCCCCATGTTTATTGCAACAATATTTATAATATTAAAAATATTTTTAAAACCTAACTGTCCATCAACTTAAAGAAAATGTGTTATATATACACAATTGAATCATATTTGCCTTAAAAAAAGAATGAAATCATTTCATTTGCAGTAACATCGATGAAACTGGTGGTCACTATGTTAAGTGCAATTAGCTAGGAACATAAAGTTTAAGATCACATGTTCTAACTAATGTGGGAGCTAAAAGAATTAATCTCATGGAAGTAGAGAGTAGAATAGTAGTTCCTAGAGGTGGGGAAGAGTTTTGAGGGAGACGGAAGAGGTTGGTTAATGTGTACAAATGTACAGTTAGATTTAAAAAAATAAAACCTAATGTTTGACAGCAGTTGGGTACTACAGTTAACAATTTATGTTATATTAAAAATTGCTAGCATAAAGGATTTAAAATGTTCTCAATACTTTTGAGTATTTTTGATCTTGCTCCTGTAGTTCTTTCAATTTTGACAATAGGGTGTCAATTTTAGATCTTTCCTTGCTTCTCATGTGGGCATTTATTGCTATAAATTTTCCTCTAAACACTGCTTTAAATGTGGCCCAGAGATTCTGGTATGTTGTGTCTTCATTCTTGTTGGTTTTGAAGAACACCTTTATTTCTGCCTTCATTTCATTGCTTATTCAGTCAACATTCAAGAGCAAGTTGTTCAGTTTCCATGGAGTTGTGCAGCTCTGAGTTAGTTTTTGAATTCTGAGTTCTAATTTGATTGCACTGAGGTCTGAGAGAATGTTTGTTATGATTTCTGTTCTTTTCCATTTGCTGAGGGGTGATTTACTTCCAATTATGTCATCAATTTTAGAGTAGGTGTGATGTGGTGCTGAGAAGAATGTATATTCTGTGGATTTGGGGTGGAGAGTTCTGTAAATGTCTATTAGATTTGCTTGGTCCAGGTCTGAGTTCAAGTCCTGGATATCCTTGTTAATTTTCTGTCTCATTGATCTGTCTAATATTAACAGTGGAGTGTTAAAGTCTCCCACTATTACTGTGTGGGAGTCTAAGTCTCTTTGTAAGTCATTAAGAACTTGCTGTATGTATATGGATGCTCCTGTATTTCGTGTGTACATATTTAGGATCATTAGCTCTTCTTGTTGCATTGATCCATTTACCACTATGTAATGCCCTTCTTTGTCTCTTTTGATCTTTATTGTTTTAAAGTCATTTTAGCAGAGACTAGGATTGCCACTCCTGCTTTTTTTTTCTCTGCATTTGCTTGGTAAACCTTCTTCCATCCCTTTATTTTGAGCCTATGTGTATCGTTGCATGTGAGGTGGGTTTCCTGGCTACAGCACACCACTGGGTTTTGACTTTTCATCCAGTTTGCCAGTCTGTCTTTTGATTGGTGCATTTAGCCCATTTGCATTTAAGGTTAATATTGTTACATGTGAATTCGATCATGTCATTTTGATGCTAGATGGTTGTTTTGCCTGTTAGTTGATGCAGTTTCTTCATTGTCGATGTTCTTTACCATTTGGTATGTCTTTGTAGTGCCTGGTACTGGTTGTTCCTTTCTATGTTTACTACTTCTTTCAGGTGCTCTTGTAAAGCAGGCCTGGTGGTGATAAATCTCTGAGCAATTGCTTGTTCATATAGGATTTTATTTCTTCTTCACTTATGAAGCTTAGATTGGCTGGATATGAAATTCTAGGTTGAAAGTTCTTTTCTTTAAGGATGTTGACTATTGGCCCCCACTCTCTTCTGGTTTGCAGGGTTTCTGCTGAGAGATCTTCTGTGAGTCTGATGGATCTCCTTTTGTGGGTAACCCGACTTTTCTCTGTTGCTGCCCTTAGCATTTTTTCCTTCATTTCAACCCTGGTGAATCTGACAATTATCTGCCTTGGGGTTGCTCTTCTTGAGGAATATCTTTGTTGTGTTCTCTGTATTTTATGGACTTGAATATTGGCCTGCCTTGCTAGGCTGGGGAAGTTCTCCTGGTTAATATCCTGAAGAGTGTTTTCCAGCTTGGATTCATTCTCTCCATCACATTCAGGTACACCTATCAAATGTAGATTAGGTTTTTTCACATAATCCCACATTTTTTGCAGGCTTTGTTCATTTCTTTCCACTCTTTTTACTCTATTCTTGCCTTCTCATTTTATTTTATTGAGTTGATCTTCAATCTCTGATATCCTTTCTTCTGCTTGGTCGATTCGACTATTGAAACTTGTGTACGCTTCACCAAGTTCTCATGCTGCATTTTTCAGCTCCATCAAGTCATTTATATTCCTCTCTAAGCAGTTTATTCTAGTTAGCATTTAGTCAAATCTTTTTTTCTAGGCTCTTAGTTTCTTTGCATTGGGCTAGAAAATGTTCTTTCAGCTCAGAGAAGTTTGTTATTACCCACATTCTGAAGCCTGTTTCTGTCAATTCATCAGACTCATTCTCCACCCAGCCTTGTTCCCTTGCTGGAGAGGAGTTGTGATCCGTTGGAGGAGGAGAGACCTTCTTGTTTTGGGTGTTTTCATCCTTTTTGTGCTGGTTTCTTCCCATCTTTGTGGATTTATCTACCCGTCGTCTTTGTTGTTGATGACTTTCAGATGGGGTCTCTGAGTGGACATCCTTTTTGTTGATGATGAAGTTATTTCTTTCTGTTTCTTAGTATGCCTTCTAACAGTCCGGTCCCTCTGCTGTAAGACTGCTGGAGGTCCACTCCAGACCCTGCTTGCCTGGGGATCACCTGCAGTGGCTGCAGAACAGTAAGGGTTGCTTCCAGTTTCTTCTTCTATTATCTTTGTTCCAGAAGGATACCCACCAGATATCAGCCTGAGGTCTCCTTTATGAGGTGTCTCTTTGGATATATGGCAGTCAGGGAGCTGCTTGAGGAGACAGTCTGACCTTTATAGGAGCTCAAGTGCTGAGCTGTGAGCTCCATTGTTCTGTTCAGAAGACAAGAAATAACTAAGATCAGAGCAGAAATGAAGGAGATACAGACACAAAAAACCCTTCAGGAACTGATTTTTTGAAATGGTCAACAAAATAGACAGATCACTAGCCATATTAATGAATAAGAAAAGAGAGAAGAAACAAATAGATGCAATCAGAACGGATAAAGGGATATCATCACAGATTCCACAGAAACACAAACCCCATCAGATTTACTATGCACAACTCTATGCACATAAACTTGAAAACCTGGAAGAAATGGATAAATTACTGGACACTTCCACCCTCCCAAGCCTAAAGCAGGAAGAATTTGAAACCTTGAATCGATCAATAACAAGGGCAGAAGTTGCGGAAGCAATTAACAGCCTACCAACCAAAAAATGTCCAGGTCCAGACGGGTTCACAGCCAAGTTCTACCAGACATACAAAGAGGAGCTGGTACCACTCCTTCTGAAACTATTCCAAACAATCCAAAAGGAGGGAATCCTTCCCAAATCATTTTATGAGACCAACATCATCCTGATACCAAAACCTGGCAGAGACTCAACAAAAAAAGAAAACTTCAGGCCAATATCCATGATGAACATAGATGCAAAAATCTTCAATAAAATACTGGCAAACCAGTTGCAACAGCACTTCAAAAAACTTATCCATCATGATCAAGTAGGCTTGATCCCGGGGATGCAAGGCTTGTTCAACATATGCAAGTCTATAAACGTAATCCACCGCATAAACAGAATCAAAGACAAAAACCACATGATTATCTCAATAGACACAGAGAAGGCCTTTGAGAAAATTCAACTGTGCTTTATGCTGAAAACTCTGAAAAAACTAGGTAACAACAGAACATATGTCAAAATAATAAAAGCTGTTTATGACAAACCCACAGCCAATATCATACTGAACAGGCAAAATCTGGAAGCATTCCCTTTGAAATCTGGCACTAGACAAGGATGCCCTCTCTCACCACTCCTATTCAATATAGTATTGGAAGTTCTAGCTAGAGCAATCAGGCAAGAAAAAGAAATAAAGGGTATTCAATTAGGAAAGGAGGAATTCAAATTGTCTCTATTTGCAGATGACATGATTGTATATTTAGTAGACCCCATCATCACAGCCCAAAGTCTCCTTAAACTGATAAGCAAATTCAGCAAAGTCTCAGGACAAAATCAATGTGCAAAAATCACAAGCCTTCCTATACACCAATAACAGACTTACAGAGAGCCAAATCAAGTACAAACTCCCATTAACAATTGCTACAAGAAGAAGAAAATACCAAGGAATACAACTAGCAAAGGATGTAAATGACCTCTTCAAGGAGAACTAGAAACCACTGTTCAATGGAATAAGAGAGGACACAAACAGATGGAGAAACATTCCATGCTCATTGTTAGGAAGAATCAATATCGTGAAAATGGCTATACTGCCCAAAGTAATTTATAGATTTAACGCTATCCCCTTCAAGCTACCTATGACCCTCTTCACAGAACTAGAAAAAAACACCTTAAACGTCATATGAAACCAAAAGAAGGCCCGCATAGCCAAGTCAATTCTAAGCAAAAAGAACAAAGCAGGAGGCATCATGCTACCTGACTTCAAACTATACTACAAGGCTGCAGTAATTAAGACAGCATGGTACTGTTACCAAAACAGAGGTACAGACCAATGGAACGGAACAAAGGCCTTGGAAGCAACAGCACACCTACAACCATCTGATCTTTGACAAACTTGACAAAAACAAGCAATTGTGAAATGATTCCCTGTTTAATAAATGGGGTTTGGAAAACTGGCTATCCATGTGCAGAACCAGAAACTGTACCTCTTCCTGACACGTTACTCTAAAACTAACTCCAGATGGATTTAAGACTTAAACATAAGACCTAACACCATAAAAACCATAGAAGAAAACCTAGGCAAAACCATTCAGGACATAGGCATAGGAAAGGACTTCATGACTAAAACACCAAAACCATTGGTAACAAAAGCCAAAATAGGCAAATATGATCTAATTAAACTCCAGAGCTTCTGCACAGCAAAGGAAGCAGTCCTTGGAGTGAATTGGCAACCAACAGAATGGGAAAAAATTTTTGCAATCTACCCATCTCACAAAGGAGTTATATCCAGAATCTACAAAGAACTAAAACAGATTTACAGAAAAAAAACAAATAAACCCATTCAAAAGTGGGCAAAGGATATGAACACTTTTCAAAAGAAGGCCTAGTTGAGACCAAGAAACATATGAAAAAATGCTCATCATCACTGGTCATTACAGAAATGTAAATCAAAACCATACTGAGATACCATCTCATTCCAGTTAGAATGGCAATCATAAAAAACCTGGAGACAACAGATGCTGGAGAGGATGTGGAGAAACAGGAACACTTTTACACTGTTGGTGGGAGTGTAAATTAGTTCAACCATTGTGGAAGACAGTGTGGCAATTCCTCAAGGACCTAGAAACAGAACTTCCATTTGGCCGAGCAATCCCATTACTGGGTATATATCCAAAGAATTATAAATTGTTCTATTATGAAGACACATGCACACGTATGTTCATTGCAGCACTGTTTACAATAGCAAAGACTTGGAACCAACCCAAATGCCCATCGATGATAGACTGGACAGGGAAAATGTGGCACATATACACCATGAAATACTATGCAGCCATAAAAAGTGATGAGTTGCTGTCTTTTGTAGGGACATGGGTGAACCTGGAAACCATCATTCTCAGCAAACTGACACAAGAACAGAAAATCAAACACCACATGTTCTCACTCATAAGCAGGTGATGAACAATGCAAACACATGGACACAGGGAGGGGACCATCACACACTGAGGCCTGTGGGGGGAGCTAGGGTAGGGATAATGGGGTGTAGGGAGCTGGAGAGGGATAACATGGGGAATAATGCCAGATATAGGTGATGGGGATGGAGGCAGCAAACCACATAGCCATGTATGTGCGTATGCAACAATCCTGCATGTTCTTTACATGTACCCCAGAACCTAAAGTGCAATTATATATATATATAGTTCTCAACACATAAAAATAATAAATACACTAGGCGATGGATATTCTAAATACCCTGACGAGCATTTACACATCCTATGAGTGTATCAAAATATCCATATGTCCCATAAATATGTAAAATCGTTATGAGTTAAAAAAAAATGCTCTAGCCAGGTGCGATAGCTCATGCCTGCAATCTTAGCACTTTTGGAAGTCTAGATGAATGGATGGCTTGCAGCCCAGGAATTTGAAATCAGCCTGGGCAACATGGTAAAACCTATCTGAAAAATAAAGAGAGAGAGAGGAAAGAAAGAAAGAAGAAAAAGAAAGAAAGAAAGAGAGACAGAGAAAGAGATAAAGAGAAAGAGAAAGAAAGAAAGAAAGGAAAAGAGAGAAAGAAAGAAAAAGAAAGAAAGAGAGAGAAAAAGAAAGAGAGAAAGAAAGAAAGAAAGAAAGAAAGAAAGAAA